TGACTGCGTAGTACACAGGTTGCGCTCCTTCGACGCCTGCATCGCTGCGGCGGGTGGTCGTAGCAGATCGTGTCACCTCTGTTGCTCGTACCGAAACACTAGAGCCGCGTAATATTCTTGCTGCCGAAGTTTATAAGCCTACGTTCGCGGCCAACGCATATACACAAAGCCACCGCCCAGCGAGCCTATCCCCCTCGTTCTCTTTCGGCGACCGGCCGCCAGGGCGGTGACACCGTCGCTGAAACTCCTCAATAGTTTCGCTTCACCGTGTGCACGTGGTGTGCATCTCTAGAAACTCTGGGCTGCAGCAGCGTGCACATTGTTCACGAGTACGTCAGCGATCGACAAGTGTGGTGCGGTTCCGACGCGTGAGCTCCTATTAAAATGATATATAAAGTTCTGGTGCAGGTATGTCTGTGAAATTTTATATTGTGGTCCATAAGGTCCATAAACACTTCTAAGAGACACGCGAAACATTTTGGAAGCCGATGTATGACGGGATTTTGTGTATCGGCAAAACAATTGCACGCAAAAGCCGATGCACGACAACCTGTCGTGCGTAAAAGAACATAATTTGAAATTTGTGCGAGTATTTACGTTTCGACCATGCGGTGACTTTATGAACGCCTCTTGAGACTTTCTATTTGGGCGCACTGATGGAAGTGTTAAAACAACCTTTACGAGCTGTGGAATCGATGCTTGAACCTAAGCACGTCGTGTTGGAGGCTAGAGACTTAGGGCTGTGGAAAGGGCTGTTAATGCAGGAACGTAGCCAGGGAGGGGGGGGGGGGGGGGGGACCATGCCCGCCCCCCCCCCCCCCCCCCCCCCCCTTCCCCCCTGGAACAAAATCCTGGCTACGCTTTTGCGGGGCAACCTTAATCAAACGAATTGTGGAACCTTTTCAGTGGTGCTACTTATACTTTAAATTTGTTAAGTTGACTAACCTGACAGAGTTCCCGATTATAGATCATTATAGGCCGGCCTTAGCAAACAGCTCAAAACGTGATCAACATAACGTTGGTAAATACTCGTGGTTCTGTTTTCTTGTTTTCATGTCTTGCAGCCTACCAAAGAACATTTCAAGAATGATCTAGCTGGCTCTGCTGGCACAAGATCTATCAACACAGAGGACAGTTTAGATTAAGATTTTAGGTACAATTAGGTACATCTGTATCCCAAGCACCTACTTTGGAGTAATGTTTTTACATTACGTTTTCAAGCCTTTTTCAGCAACAACATTTAGACCTTATTCTTTGTGCAACTAATGTAAATGGTTGACCCATACACACATTCTGATGCACCTGTTTGCGTGGGTCTACACAAATGGACACCTATTTGTGAACAGGTTCCACATTTACGCAAATCCTGTACAAACATTATCCGAGTAGAGCATTGTTTACAAAAAAAAAAAAAAAAAAAAAAACTACAGCCGGGTTAGCATGGGCTTGCGACTGTGGTGAGCCATAACATGCTCATGTGAAATGCCTTTTTTATTGGAAGATTTATATAGATATTTCAATAAAAATGCGAAAAATCTCTAATATAGAGTTTTTTTTTATGTCTCTTTGTCTCTTTAGCAAAAGCACTCTATGAAAGTGCCATAGGTGCTCATATCTTGGGAAGTTGAATGTTGAACGAGCTATCGCGCCACTGATGCAGCTTCTGCTGCTGTATAATCACAATCACTGACAGCGCAGTTTCTTTTTCTTTTTTTTTTTTCATTCCTAAGTGTGATATAGGTATGGTCGACAAATAAGATAGAAAACTTAATATGAAGCGAATAAAATAAAATTGATGTGGCTTACCTAAAACGTGTGGCAGCGACATTTTTCATTCAAACGATTTGTATTGGGTTTAGAAAGCAAAGTATCTGATTTCTGCCCTTAATCTTTATGTCACAAATAAAAATTGCGCTCCCGAAAATGCAGTTATATCCCCAATCCAGCTTCTCTATTTCGTAGGACATGCTGTCAAGCAGTTGCAAGCTGAACGTCATTTGAATGAACGACATACCGTGAAGACATCTGAATAATCAATTGGGAGCGACTTTAAAACAACTTTCGCGCTCTGATAGAAACTGCTAATTCGAAGGTTTTGACTAGTTCCAGCAATGAGTGGACATACCTTGTATAAACTCAGTTTCACAATCTTTCGAAGAATGTTCCTGGCTTTACTACAATATTTTTTGTGGACTAATATAATTTCAATCTGAAAAAAAATGCCTGCTAGTGGTTAATGGTCCCTCGCAGGCAAGCAAAGAGTGGTTTGTTTACGTACGAAAGTACTCTACTGCCTTGGCTTTTATTTTCTTATCTTTGTTGGAACCGCTTCAGTATTGCAAATTACAAAGACAACGAGTAACTGGAGCAGCACTTTGTATAAACTATATTTTGAGCAGAGTCTTTAAACAAATGAATATTCCCTAAATGCCCATAAAGTTATAATTCTATAATTCTTTCAGTGCACTGAAGAAATCTTGTTTTCATTGTTTTGGTAACGCTTTCGACGTTCAAATCAAACGTTTACTGTCGGCGGGTCATAGTTTAGATTTTATCGTTTCTAGTGCTCGTAGACTGCTTGTACGCGCGTCGGTGACCGCTGAGAGGGTTCAAGGTAGAACCTTTGCTGTGATTCCTTATTTTCATGGTTTTTTTTCATAGCCTAAAAGCCTTGGGTGCGAAATTTAACGTTAATGCGGTTTTTAGGACGGACTTCCGTTTAGACAAGCTTACTCCGTTTGCCTTCAGACGTGAGGGATGTTGCGGGAAAAAACGCAGAGATCCTGTGTCGCAGAGCTGGTCTACAAGATCCCCTTTGACTGCGGATTGTGTTATGTTGGTCAGACGGGGCATTGTTTGAAGGACCGACTTGCGGAGCATAAAAGGTGTGTCAAGAATTTGGCAAAGAATTCTGAATTGGTTAATCATGCTAGTTCTTGTAATTTTTGTTCCCCTCTTTGGGATGAAACTTCCGTTCTGTGTTACTAAAAAAGAATTGTTTAGAAGGCTATAATTAACTGTGCATTCGCGAGCGGGGGAATTGTGTGAGCCAGCCGTCCTTGGTTATCAGTGATCGGATGAAAGAGTTTTTGCTTGTATGAGGGGAGCTTTGTAAACCTTGAGAAGGGGGGGAACCGGGAAGCGTTTGCTTGGAGTGGTGACCGCGGGGTTGTTGTTGTTCGGGTGGTCGGCTCCCTTTCCGAAAGTTGTTGGAGCCGGGGAGTGGCTCTGTCTGGGGTGAACGCGTTGCCCGTCTTGTTTTTTGCTTTTGAGTTATTTTTGCCCTTTCTCTTTTCCTTTTGTGTGAAAGTCTATTTATTGGTATGCTCATATCAATAAAATGCAGCTGCGTTTGAGATTTTGTTGCGTTCGTCCGTTTTTTTATCGTTCCCCATCTCAGGGTTTACAAGATGTCTAGATAAGAGACGGAAAAATCGCGCGGGCGCCTTACCGAAATCGCTAGCCTTGTACCTGCTCCACGAGTGGTAACTTTAGTGCACTACTACGCTTCTCACGTGCTGAAAGTCTTTCTGAAAATGACTGATTCAGTGGTTTTCGATAACGCTCAGCAAGTTTCTAAATGGGGGAACCATATGTCTATTTTCACTAATTAAAAAGTAAATTTGAATTATTTAGCCGACTTATCGCAAAGATTAGCCACCCACATAATGTCCCCCCTGGGCGTATAACTCACTCGAACAAACCGCATAAGTGTAGCTTTCATGTTTTTGCTTTTTTTTTACAAATCTGCAAACACACACACACAAACAGTATATATATATATATATATTTATATATATATCAGTGTGTCGAACCGAAAAAAATACGGGTTCGGTTACGGTTCAGGTTCAGGTAAATTTATTTTGTTCCGGTTCAGTTCGGGTTCCATTAATTCGATCCGCGAACCGGTTCGCGAACCGGTTCGGAGCGCTGAACCGGTTCGCGAACCGGTTCGGAAATTATAAATGACAAATTGCAACATCAAAATCAATTACAAATAAAACATCTGAAATCAGCACATACGAAACGGGATACATCGTAGTGTAAGGCTCAGGGATTTCTACCAGGAATGGTTTCTTTATGTGCACTCAAAGGTTACCTCACCGACGTTTACGCATTCGGACTTCGTCTAATTGGGTCCGAAGCAGTAGCTGTAAAATCCGCGACCTCCTTACAAACCCACTGACAAGTAGAACTCGCTAACCATCCCGCCACCTCGGCGTGTAAGCAATTGAAGGAACAGTGGGGAGAAAATACAGCTTTCTTTATTTGAACTAGAATTCGGTAACTCAAATTAGACCCTTAAAGAAGTTTTCATTAAACAAGATACGGAATATGAAAAACACTTCACCGAACGCAACGCCAGAAGGGCGTAATAGGATAAATATTAAAATAGAAGAGTTCGCTGTCTCACAAATATATAGCTTCTAAGTGCCTATACGTAACCGGATGCATCGTGGTGCTGGCTTTCGTCAGCGGCCGCCACAGGGATGCGGGGGATGCGGGAGAAGGTAACCGTTTGTCAAGATTCATGGATGCAGCGTTTATATTCCTAAGACTGAGTGGAGAAGAAAAATATGTGAGCGAGGTGTGTGTCAGTTGACGGCACTTAAAAAACAAATGGCATTGATAGCACATTCATTGTCAACAGCGCGTGGCCGAACCGTTTTGACATGAGCCGGTAACCGTTACTTTTTCCGGTTCAGCTCCGGTTCGGGTTCATCGCGATAACAATATAACGGTTCGGGTTCGGGTTCAGTTCCGGAAAAAATACCGGTTCGGTTCCGGTTCGACACCCTGATATATATATATATATATATATATATATATATATATATATATATATATATATAACCCGCCTTGGAACTCCCGAAGTTCGTAACGCCATGGCTCCATCTCGTGTAAATAAGCAGAACCAGGCGCGTTGGGTGCGCCGGTTGGTTGCTTCGCCAGCCTGTTGGCGGCGCTGCGCAGCGATTGACCACGTGATCGACGCTCCGCAGTTCTTCCTGTGGCAATGAAGGAGGAAAAACGTGCCAAATGTTCGTCGGAAAGCTGCGCTGAGGGCCGGATAGAGCGCCGTTCTCGTTTCGTGTGGCCCGTGGAACATGCTCAAACTGGCCGGCCTGTGCGGAACCTTCAGCCTGCTCACGCTGGGCTCCTTCTGCTCGACGTGGGCGGCAGCCCTGGTCACCTGCGTGCTGTACGTGGTCACTGGAGGATGGAGATTCGTGCGAATCGTCTTCTACACGGCCCGCCGAGACTTGACGTGAGTGCAACGAACGCCGCTGGCCTTATTCCCCGCCGGTTGGAGACGTCAGCCGATCGCCTTCGGGACAGCCTGACAGTTTCCGACTTCCGTAGTCCCTTCGAGGAAACCTTCTCGGCCTAGCGAGCCGCAAGTCCATAACGGAAAACTTCCCTAGAGCTCGGCCAGCTGCCATCGCCTGCAACTTGTGATCAGCGAGCTGACGATAGGAAATCGGTTCTAGGCGTTTGTCATTGTTTTTTTGCCCGTTTAACCGCGGAATGGCGAAAGATGGAGAGCCTCTACTGACTGCTACGAAAGTTTCCGGGCGACCGGTAAACAACTCGTCCTTGCGCAGCATGGTTGGCTGTGCGGAGGAGCATGAAAATGGCCTTAGAGGCGCGTTTGAAGCACAACTTCCTCGTGTCGTGCCGATTGGTCTTGTTTGGCTGTGCGGACACGCGCGTTGGCGGTACATCGTGGTCTTATTCGCTATCTGTTAGCGTTTTGGTACTAGCTGTAGCCTAGAATGACCGTGTAGTTACACCGCGCGAAAAAGCATAGCGCTTTTTTTTTATTTTTGTTACCGCTCGATGACACCTCTGCGGGTGTTTCATCCGCGAAGTGGGCATTTCGTTTACTGTCTAGGCGGACAATGGCCAGATCGTCTCTAGGTCAGGTCGCTGTCCGCGTGTAAAGCTCGGACGGAATTCGTAAAACCTCGCAGCGGGAAGGTTCCTTCCAGCTGAAGGAAACCCATTTAGCGTTGTTTCCCCAAGGCAGAAAACTTTCCTGCCCTCCCCCTTTTTTTTCTTCCAGAAAGGTAAATAAATAAATAAAAACTAATATAAAAAGGCGGGTTACGCGGATAGCAAATCGTCTGCTTCTTTCGCAGGAGTGATGTCAAAAGGACGCAGAGCTCTGATTGGCTTCGATTGAAAGGATATACAGCGTAGACTTTCAGTGCTAGATGCCTGGAGGTCCACCCGCTATTTCATTCTGTTTCAATCAGCCAATGAGAGCTCGGCGTTCTGACATCGGAGCAACCCCTGTGCTACAAGCAGACGACACTTGCGCTCCGCATTAAAAAAACAACCTCAAAGTGCACTACTGTTTTTTTTTGTTTTTGTTTTTTTATTCTTTTTTTCGTCGCTATTAACGTGGCTATAAACTTGTCCCGAGGGGGAAACTCGAGAGTAAAGAACGATGTGAAACCCTGTTGCTAATCGCGTTGTCAAAGGTCGCGAAGTAGTGAAGGAAAACTAGTATAGCGCGCGTGTAGCGTGTTTTTCTCAACTTTCACCGCGCGAACATCATTTTTTTTTCTTCGCAAATCCACGCTCGAACGATACGGTTAATACATGTTAATGCGAGAGACGGTGGGCGTTTCGTATCTTAAACCCAAGACTGGGGATAAGCGGAATAGCACTATTTTTTCTTTTTAAATACATTTTGCGATTATTTTGCGCTCGTTACGTGTGTGACGTCCCTCCGAAAATATTCCGCGTTTTCTTTTGCCGCAAGTAGAAGCTGCGCTTGGCGGGACGATCATTGTCCGCCCAAATGTCCGAAGCAGCTAGACGGCAAAGTTTCCGAGAACTCGGCGCTATCCCGAGTTCCGAGTGATTTTCTCAACATTTCCGTGGGAAAACCAGTTACCGAACACTACTTTTCCCATCGGAAATTTTCCGAAAATCCCTTCTAACTTGCGAATGAGAGTTCTGAAACTCGCACCTAGTTCGGACGGCTGCATTTGGGTGGACAAGGAGCGACCCCTATCTTTGCGCAGTCTTTCTTACGCTTTACGAATTTGCTGAAAAAAAGAAGAGCTAGACTAGGCGGTAGGTGAGATGTACGACCAGCTGGTCATAAACAGGGGGCTCACCGTCACGTCGGATACAGTAACTAGCACATGGCGTTGAAACCAGCTTGGGCCAAGAATGAAGAAAAACTGGTGCACGCTACCCGTGTCGAACCGACGCAGCATTCTTCGGTCCTATTGAGCGAGTTAATTGGCGCCGAGGAATTGACTACCTTCTCGAATGTTCCTTCGTGCGCACGCCCTTTAATACAAAACCTGCGGAGCTTGCTCAGAATCATCCCACCGCACTGTTTCCAAGGTTTTCGTACTTGGAAGAAAGTCCGTGAGCTTCGAAAAAAATGCCACACGAAGGTCTCGAACATTGGAGATCGCTTTCCGATGCATAAAATCTGTGTTTTCCAAGCTCGAAAAAATGGCACCCACAAAGGCTACCTGGATGGAAAATACGCGATGGGACGTTTCTCTACCAACTCTTGCCTCGAAAGTTGATATTTCAAAAGTTGGCTGATTATTTGGCGTTAGTTAGCTCGTTTGGCGCTTGGCCAAAGTGCTGCCTCGGTTAGGCACGGGTAGCGTGCGCCAGCTTTTCTTTCCAGCGTCGGCAAACGTTCGCTGGACCAGCCTGGCTCATCGAGTGAGGACGCTTTCCAAGGGGTCTTTGGCTGAGTTTTCTAGGGCCGCTGATTTTTCCTCGTGCTACCGCGCGTGGAGGAGCGCTGCACACGGATCCTGCGTAGGCTGCCTGCACGTCTGTCTGCCTCAGGGTGAAGACGTCATTGTTGCCCCGAATGTGCCAGCGCGTGACGCTCTCGCGCACTCGGTGCGTGACTCGGGCGGTTAAATGGCGTCTATGGATATTAGCCGAAGCTACGCGCTCGAGCTCAGCGACACCGGATTGCGCGCGCTTCAAAATGCAGAAAAAGCGATTGGGCGAAAAAATGGCTGAGATGTCACCACTCCAGCAAAAGCGCGCGTGTGTATGAAGGCGCTCTAATCCTGCGTTCCCCGCTGATCTGAAAGGCCATCGTGCACCTCATAGGCGTAGACTACGGGGGGGTATCGCGGCTCGTGCCGCCCTTCCCCCCCCCCTGGCCATGATCTTTACCGAGACGCTGTTTACGTGCCATGTGACGAGCTTCTACTAGTGGCGTGTAAACAAAACGCGCACAGCGACGGACACGTGGCGATATACATACGCTGTAGAGTGTACCCCCTAAAATAAACTACCGATGATGGCCGGTGCAAAAGAAATTGCGCGGAAAAGCCCCCCGGGAGGATGGAAAGTCTACGCCGCTGGTGCAGCTAATGTTCAGGCTCGATATCCAAACGCCCTTTGACGCAGAGTTCGCCAACCACTGCTTCTGACGGAATCGCCATTGAAGCCCAAAAGAGAAAATACGATTACAGATAGGAATTTTACGAGGCGTTATCGATATACATCGATATGCGATGCCCGACCTTGGAACTTTTCTAGAGGCTTTGCCGCGATGCCTCGTGGCTGGAGGACCGGGAGAAAAACATCGGTCGCGTTGCTCTCTGCCAGTCGCGGGAGTCTTCTTATCCAAGTGCGGCCTTGGCGGTTCCGATGACTCGCCTTCGCCGCCGTCTTTTTTTTTCTCACGTTTTTGGCGTCGAATATGTCACTCGGTAACGGCTTACGGCTTCGCCTTCTTCTCGGGATCCGAGTGATCCGAGTCCGGTCCAGATAGCGGAGGTGCGTTTGGGACGCCTCCTGGCGAGTTCCTCGACGTTTTCTAGCGCGCGACCCGGGCGGGTGGAGTTGCCAAATCTGCGCAGGTCGTGCGTGTCTGGGAACGCTTTTTCCTGGGCCTGGCTGGATCGGAGAGCACCGAACGCCTGTCCCCGGCCTCTCTTTCGTGCACGTCTTTTTTATTCGGTTGCCTCTGCAGCGTTGCTTTTCGTCCGCTATTCATCGTCCAAAGGCTAAGGTGACTCAAGTTCTGCCAATCTCTCAAGAAAGAGCTTCTTCAACTTGCCGATGGGACGTTTTGAGCAATCCAGTTACGAAGCTCGCTTTGCTAGAGGCGTACATTTACTATTTCGAAGACTGACTGTAACAGCGGGCAGCAAAAAATCTAAACGCGAAAGAAAGTGTGCCAAGCGTTTGTGGGTTTCTTTGGTGGCGAACGGCAGATGCAGCGTTGGTTGAATTTCGGAAAGAAACTGTCGAAGGCCTCGGTTGAACAGCACTCAAAGAATAGGACGGAGAGAACGATGGCGCCACGGAGAAAGTGCTTCGTCAACCTCCACGATTCCGTGTAAACCTGAGACGAAGGAAGAATAAAAGCGTCTTGCTTTGCGTAAAAAGGCACATGGATGGATGTGAACGGCTCTTCGCGTCTCGTTGCTCGCCTCCCGGGAACGGGAAGCGCTCTATTGAGGGTTCCATGAAATGCGGAAGTGCTCGCGATCGTGGCTCGCCAAATGTCATTCCTGAATGCAAACAGCACTCTTTACTCTCCCAACCTAGTTCTGCAGCCGGTATGGGATTGGACCTTAAGAGAGAGTTTCAGTACTGCGTATAGAAGCAAACGCAAGCTCTGCGCACTTGCGTTAGAGCCTTCGCGCCCCACGTTGCGCAAGCGCGTCGTCGCCGTACGCCAATCCCAAACCTCAATCTTGCGCTCCGCGCACGCGCAGTGTGGAACACGCGAAGCTGATGCAAACACACAGCGCTCGCATTCGCTCGTAGACGCCATACTGAATAAAATTCGCTGCTGTTTCACCGGCTTCCAACGCCAACGAAAGGTGCTGCAGTGAGCAGACGTGCAGGCAGGTAGGCGTTCCTTCGAACCGGAAAGGCTGAGATTGGAAAGTTTGCCGATTATCAAAAGTCGCGACTTTGATAGCACCATATGCTTTACCCACAATTAACGTAATTTTACGTGGATTTCTCAGATTACCTAGAATGTTTTCGTTTATTTTCGACTATTTTCATTTTATAACTCGTTAATGAAAAATGCTCCCACGTGTCGGGAATAATGTTAAAACAATTATTCATCTAAATACCTGAAAACCGATTAAAGGGCCCGCAGTTCATTATTTGAGATGGCAATTTTCTGAGAGAGAAAAGGCAACAAGAACGCACAAATATCAGCACTGATCTTTTCAACAAATACAATATGCCATGTTACATTAAAGGGACACTGAACTCCTTAAAGGGACTGCGCAACGACAT